GGACGTCTGGAAACTCCTTGGCGCTCGGCCCGGTCACAGAATGTTGCACGCTGTGTGAAGTGATTGGCCGAGTAGGCCAACGTGGTTCAAATCTGGTCCACACGCAGGCCGCTGTGAAGCAGGGGGCTAATATCGAGTACTTTATGAAAATAGGCCGTGCGAACACGCCTGTTTCGGAATCTAAATTGCCACAACCGTCGATGATGTATTATTTGTACCAATACCTATTTCTTACTGGGAAAGCATCTCTTATAATAATTGCCCTGTCGGCTACGTAAATGTTAGGAAAATAACAGCCACAATACATTTGGGGCAGACTTGCCATGTGACACATTATCTGTGAATACCAAGGGAAGTTGAACATTGGGGAGCTAGCCCGCTTTATTATTCGTTTTAAAAAGACAAATTGTGAGCCACCAACAGTCCAGTCATATTTCGGCCAGGCGTGAATTCATATGCACTTGTGATCCGAAAGTAGCCATCACATCGATCTTGGCCGGTCGGAGGTGAACATGACGCGCTCAATTTTCATTCATGTGCCGTTCCCCTCTGGAAATGTGAGATAGCGATATTGTCTTTGTTTTTCTTGGGTAGTGTTTTTTTTTTTTGGACTTGTGCCAGGGAAATCCTTGGAAGATGGGGGTCTTCTGCAAATATTTTTTTATAGGTTTTGCGGTGGATGCAAGTATATTAATGTCCTTGGCTTGCATAATAATGCGGGCAGGACGTGCGGGTTGAGAAGTGCCTTTATTAACGGGTCCCTGGACCATGAGGTTTATCCATGTCGGAATAAATATGATGTGGCCTCGTTAGCCGTATTCTACACATCATGGCCGGAGTTTTCACAAAGACCTGTACAATTGATCGCTGGGGTGTAATGTGCATGCTATATTGTTGAATCTTGCTTGAAAAGTTGCCTTGTTCAGACCCAGACGTGAGTTCCTACTCAACACCTTCATCTCTACCCTATTAGTTCTCCCCGATACCAGGCCTTTCTCTTCTCAAATTAAACCGAGGTAAATGGTGTCGATCCTTTTAGCTTGAAAAAAAGGATGCAAAAACACGACTGAAAATACATGGCCTAGCCCCGAGTCGAACGGGGATGCTCCCACTTGTATTCGCAAGATGTTCTGGTCGCTTACATATGGATTGTAGGAGTGCACCGTGTTACCAGGCCTTTCCTTGCTTAATTTAACCTTAGGTAAGTCAGTCACTTGTCGTGCCTAGGCATAAAATAGACCGCCAACTTAATCCACTGACGCACACTGTGTATAGATTCGGAATGCGGGTGTGTGCCACGCCAACAGGTGTTTTTCCTGCCTGGATCAGGGAATAAAGAAGTAAAAAGATATGATGATTCATGAAGACTGGATGGACTGACCCCAAGTCGAACGAGGACTTTCATAAATATGGGTGGTAGGAGTGCGCCAGGCTACCAGGCCCTTTTTTGTATAACCAACACTTGTATAGATGTGATTCCTTGAAGGCATAGCAGGCAGAGATACTTTCTTGCACCCCGGATTTCAAAATTCAGCAGAGGTGATAATTGTTACGTAGGATTTGCGGTGGATACAAGGATAGTAATTTGTTTGGCTTGGAAGGGAAGCGCAATCATGCGGCAACCCTCCAGGTATGGTTAATGCTCTTCTCCCTGCCCAGTTTCTCATCCTTTTCTACAGCGCTTTGACTCCGTTTGAATTGCGGGGTCAGGCTGGTATGGTAGTTAATAGATACAATGTCATTTATATAATATTTTATATACGGGATTTTGAACAGTTAATACAAATATAATCACAGCCAAACCCAATGCCAAAGCGCACTGGATCCGACTGCAGCAATGCAGTCAACTCGACTGCGCTTATGCAGTCGGATTGACTGCTTCCATTGCCAAACCGCAGTCTGATCTAGGACCATATGGCAGTTGATCTGACTGTGTCACCGCAGTTGGGCTGAGTGGTATTGGGCACTGGGTTCGAGTGCGTGTTCTTTTCGACTCATATGGCATTTCTGACATGTTTTTTTCTCAGGCTTCGCAATCAGCGGGGCTCCTGGAGAGTTTTCATTCTAATTGACCTGCACATGGCTGGCGGGGGAGTTTGGTGTACGGTATATCTGGGTAGATTGCTCCTGTACCATGTAGCACAATGGATATTATTGAATCCCTAGTTTAAGTGATTAATACAATCTATGTGAGCTACAGTACCAATCAGCCCCTTGATTGTAGGGTACAATCCCCCGTAACTGCATTTTCTGTCAAAATACAATCATGGGTGATTGTATATCCTCACTCAGGCTGAGTGATACTGTCACTCACCTTGATTGTGTTTATACAATTACTCAAGATTGTATTCATACAATCAGGCTGAGTGTATATCCTCCCCACAGTGCACACTGCACGCAGGTAGTCCGCAACATCAACTTCGGTTCTATGCGGCATCAACACCGTCAATACGCATAGCCCAGATGGAAAGAAGGGCAGCAAAAACACTCAGTACATTCCAAGCCCCCCTAGACTCAGTGGGTCAACTCTGTCTAAGGTCTGTCCAGCCGTGTTTTGTACCCCTAGACTGACCTAGGAGTCAGTATAGGTCAGTCTAGGGGTACAAAACACGGCTGGACAGACCTTAGACAAAGTTGTCTAGGGGGGCTTGGAACGCAGTGAGTACTGCGAATGAAATAATTCTATCAGCCTAAGAGTGAATGCCACGCATGCATTCTGCACTCACTTCCCTCGTCGTCACCTTGGCATAGGCACCGCGTGACATGGACTCAACAGGATTGCGCACAACAATGTCCCCGTCAATGCTCGGGCCGCAGAGCAGCGACATCCCCAAGTACGAAAGCACATCGGGCGTCTGGTTTACACTTGTGAGTAAGGCTTTGTACGGGACACCGCAGTGGCAGTCAAGCGTATTCCGCGCCATTGTGGAATTAGTTGTGCCATCAAGCTGGTCGTAGTATTTCTGCCCATCGGCTTGGGTGTAGGCGGGGATCGGTGAGCGGAATAGCTGTTGGACGCTCAGTTAACGAGAGCGCATACAGATATTTGAAAACTGCATCCCATGAACACGCCGCGGAATAAATCGGACATTTTACATTCATTGTCAACGAGGAGAAGCCCAGTTAGGATCGTTCCGGCGCTGACACCGCCTCTGTTAGTGCGTCAAAATATACTGGCCGAAAGAGGGCGTATATGATTTATCACCAACAGCACGACGCTTTTAGGGTCCCCACCGAATGCGGAGGTGTGTTTCTGCACCCATTTGAGAGGCAGTATTTTTGGGAGCAACCATTCCCGTCAACTGAGGTATTTTTTATTGCGGAAAAGCCAATGTACGGTCTCTCATCCCGAGATTCGTGATGCCTGCAGCGCTCACCTCCTTCCCCGCTAAGAATCCAAAAGCGCCATTAATCAAACTGCTGTGAGGTCAGCAGCAAACATGTACCGCCTCAGCGGTAGTTGGGCGCCACAATGACGGCAGGCTCATTCGCCGAGGGAGATGGAGTGTTCAATGGATGGCTGAAAGTCGGTATCCCTGGAATTGCCAAACTCCCAGCCCCCTTGAAAATATTACCTGCCGCACACTGTTACGAGTGTCTGCAATGACTGACCTCTGTACAACCACTGGAATGCATTAATCAGTCATGACGGTAAAACAACCCACGGAGTGAATCAATATTGGGCCAGAGCAAAGGAAGAGCCTAGCCTCGTGACTCCACACCACAGCCTTGCGAGATGTTCCGTGACAACAGGTTTGCCGCAACAAACCTACTGCAGCTACGTACAACTTTCAAACATATAAGTGACCAGTATCATTCTGGTCTCCTGTCTACATTCTTTGCCCTATAAACCTTTTGACATTCTCCCCCCTTTGCTTTCCTACCATATGCTCACAATGTCCTGACAAATAGATGGTGGTTTCTACGGCATCTACATTCCTGTTGTCAAATGGTTCATTGTGGGTTCATTGTTGGTTCATTGTCAAAATTTAATTACCAGACAAATTGCTGGGCCCGCACCGAATTGTTGTCCACAATCTCTAATGCCAGGTGGGTATTCATTTCACAATTCAAGCCATCCCATTGTTTATTATTAATCTAGCAGGTCATAGACTGAATCAATAGCCTGACTCTATAGATTGTCTCGATGTTGCCCGGCAACCCTGCGCTCTAAATTTCCACCCGCACCAGAATCGCTCAAAACCCATAGCTGACCAAGGATCAGGTCTGCGATCCACCAGTGGCTTGAAAATAAATACACAGTTCAACTCAAGCCAAGTGCACATTTATTTTAAAATGACCAAGGCTTCAATAGCAATGTGAAAAACGTTTTTTTGGGTTATACTAGACCCTAGTACTCGAGAGGGTAAACACGCTTGGACCCCCGGCAATTTATCTCTTGTGCAATAGTAAAGTTTGTTCAGTTAATCGTGATATATGGGAAAACACGTGGAGTGCTGTGATTGTCAGATTTTAGAGTGCTACTCTATTCAGAATTTAAATCCCGACTACATGGGCTACTCCACCCTACCGATCAGAATTTCACATGGGCAAGCAGCACCAACGGGACATTTTGAGTGTTATCGGTTTCTGATGGATTAAAACACCTGCGATAGAAACTTGTGATATATATGGTTTGAATTCTGTTTTCAGAAGCTTTCAGATGGTATGAGGATCACTGGCAGGGCTTGCACAGTGGCCTCTACATTCACTTGTTGCTTTAGGCATTGGGTTACTACAACTTGTGTGGCAGACAGGTTCGGCCGCTTATACTGCTCAGCACTCACAGTGGATTGCATGGAGATGCCCACCAGTCCTTTCTTCAACAGCATGTGGATTCTGTGCTCCTAGTTACACCTCTGGTAGGGCCGAAAAAAATGAACGATGGGCATGTGGTGAGATTACATGTGGATACAGGATGTAGATCATTTTTTAAAGAACTACTGTACTCACCATGCAGCAGGTCCTTTATAGTCAAGGGTATACTCAAAGCTGTTACCGGTTCAGTGGTGGAGTTGTTCACACCTGCATTCATTGCAGTGTTTTCATTAACATCCTTGCAGGAGATGCCTGTTCAATTCAGGCCTGGACCATTGATGAAAATTTTGCACATTGTGATACAGGCACTGAGTAATGTATTCCCCTCAATTAAAGCTGTTACCGGTTCAGTGGTGAAATAGTTCACACCTGCATTTGCTAGCCAGTCCTGGAAACATTTGCCAGCAGGAGATGCCTGTTCAGCTGAGGTCTGAACCATTTGTGAACATTTTACTGGTTCAGTGGTAAAATTGTAAACTAGCCTTTTTACCAAGCCCGAAATGGGCAGTGCTTCAATTCAGGCTAGACATGGTTATACAACAAGTTGTGTGGAGTAAAACATCTGAGGAGCCATTTTTTGGGTATGGAGCGCATTACAAGTTGTGTAGGCCATTTCCTTAATGCTGTCTTATTAGATGCCTAATGAACAGGTGATATATAGAATATGTAAAAATCTTGTGCCAAGTCACCTGAAGCAGCTAGAAGGAATTGTAAGAGCCTATCCGCTGTGGAATCAGCGTGCGATTACAACACACCTCCACATTAGTCAAACGGATACAAATTGAGGCCAGAACACGCGATATATAAAAAAGCGATCAAAAATGACCCAAAATAGAAAAAAAAATGGCTGCACCTTGTGTTCTGCAAATGGCTGTATGTAACATTTTCGGGCTGCCCGAAAACTTGCATTTGGCGGTGTGAAGAGTAAAAGGAGACATTATCCGGTGGATATGCCCAATTGACCAGTAGCCCATTACTAAGCTCCAACCTCTCCCATCAATTCAAAATTCCAGCCCATCTCTGCATCTTGGCCGACTTCAAAATGTAAGCCCTCCACAAAGAATCCTCTGTGTCTGCTTTCTAGACCTGTGTGTCATGTATGTAGTGCCTTATCAATATCTCACTGTTTTTCCTGTGCTTTTTCTACGGCTAGATCTATGCAACAATAAAATAAGCTCATTGGTGCATAAAATATCTTGGCCCACAGCCCACATGTGTCAATTTTTAAATCGAGCAAGTACCTCTGGCTTTATTTTCTTGGACAAAAATAAACATCAGTGTTTGCCTTGACTTTTGCCAGGGTGTGCCTGTTTTGAGAAGGCTGGACCAATGAAATTGGTGTCTGGGGTGATGCACCAGTGGCCTGCAATGATATTTCCTGTCCTTCAGTGCTTGTATGTTCAGTGAGCATGCACCCATCAACAAATTGGGCCAGGAATGTAAGTAAATCTTGAGCGTGTTGTTTTTTTTGTGAAAAAAAAAGGGGGTGATGGAATGGGTCACTCTCAAACTATCTGGAGTGAAGGATAATCTCCTTGCGCTTATGTAATTCACATTAGCCCCTTGAACCAAGCTTTGGAAGGGTGCAACAAAAAACAAAATCGATGTTTTCGGGTTTTATTTTGGCTAGGACTCTTCTGGTTCAATAAATTCGGTCTAAATCACATGTAATATCTCCCCCAACTGTGGATTTGTGAGGTGAGTGATCACAGAAAATTGTTCCTGTTGACAGGCTTCCCTAAATGGGCAATTAACCCAAAGGCACAGTTATATAATGCACAGGGTGCAGATATAATTTGTATCATTGCTGCGTGGCACTAGGAATATTGAAGAAGTCTGACGTAGGTTAACACATCAAGTAGACTGCCGAGACTTCCCAATTTTTGGACAAACAAATCAAAGCGAATAACATGAATACTGAAATAGGCCAGTTATTAACTGATCAATAAGAAAAAAAGGATGCACTTGCACAAATACCTCAAAATCTCCTTTATCATATGCATTCGGGATCAAAAGTCTTCCCAGCAAATGCGTAAATAATCAGCACAATTACAGCTGTTTCCGAAAAGCTTGACAGTTGCTTGATTTTTTCTCCACACATCAACTTTTGATGCAATGCTAAGGATTGCCGTATTTGGCTTCGAATCAGCAACCCGTTCGGCAAGGACCGGAAGATCTGCCGCTCACAAAAGTTGTACTTGGGCTAAAAATGGTTGCAGCCCTCCACAACATGCTTGGGTCATTATTTGTGAATGAAAAGAACCTAGGCAGCTTACAGATGAATATTTGAGAGAAAAATTGTATTAGCTATTGGCAGCTTGGCACGGCTCGGCTGCACTCGGCTAACCCAAAACAGCAATCCTTAGCAGCCCATCAAAAGTTGATGTGTGGAGAAAAAATTGCGCGACTGTCAAGCTTTTCGGAAACAGCTGTAACATTGACATGGATATGATCTACGGACAGTTGACATTGCGAAAAAGAGGGAACTTACATCTATAGCCTATGAATTATTCAAGTGTGAGACAGGAGAAGTAGCCAAAACAAGGGAAATGAGAATGAACAGGACCTCCAAATCTTCAGATCAAGTAAGTCGAAAAGAAATATCCCGAACAAGAATGCAGTGTTCAAAACTAAAGCCGGAAATCGTAAAAAGGGAGATAATGTGGATATATGCGGTGACAGATGTGAGAACAAACAATGTAAACCCTAGGTCAGGGATATGCGAGAAAAAGAAGATGAAAAGCTACTAATAAAATTTGCTCACCTCAGTGATGGAAGAGGGCACAGGTGTTGATATCAATGGGAAACTCATTCAAAGAAGGCACAAAAACACCATGTTCGCTGGCACCCAAAGACTTCATAAGCAGGTGCCCGAGGCGAGTGCAGAGCTGGCTAGGATTGTGGAGAGCAACAATGAACAGGGGAGAATGGATAGGTTTCTCGTTCAGAAGTGCAGAGCATGCAGTGGCCCATTGTTCCACAGACTTTATAAGTGCACTCCTGAGGCGAGTGCGGCCCTGACTAGGCTTGAAGAGGGAAAAATATGGAGGGGAGGGAGGGATGACGGTGATAGGGCTGCCGAACTAACACACTATAAATGTATATATAGGAAAGTGTATAAGAAACCGCTATAACCAGCAGAATCTATATCACAACCCAACTAACACACCAACAATGCCTTTCGATAGCTGTTTTTATTGTAGGAGTCAGACGGCCAAGTATTAGGCGCGAAAGATATTTCATAGGATGAAAATGTATGTATAGGAATGCAAACAGGAAGTCAAACGAAGTCACCCGAGGGTTTCCAAGTCTTTATAGTGTTTTCTCTTTTAACGGGAGGACCGTGTAGTGTGGACACTGTAATGTCTCAACTGATAGCTTCGCTTATATAGGCCTTCTTAATCCAACGTTCTCAAAAGCAACCAATGTTCTGACAGCACAAAACCCTTATAGCTTATATTCTTATAGCTTATATAGGTCCCTGAGATCACTGCAATTGTAACTTCAAAAGCTTTATAGATTCTTTGTAGCAAAACCTCTAACTGAGTGTCTTTTATGTATCCGAGACTCTACAATTGGCCCTATAGGGAGACAACTTCTACTGTAGTGGTCACCGAAGTGGGGGGTTGCGTGAGCTACTGTAATCTAACGAAAACTCCTACCTATATACTATTTGGAAAGCTATAAATAAACAAACGATCGAGAACTAGGGTTTAGGGTATGTAAGATTTATAAGTAACAGTCATTATAGGCTTGGCAAAGAGGGCTTGGCGACTCCGTTATTCGCACGTGTTCCATGTTTTCCTGTCCGGATAATCGTATAGGACGCTCAAACTGAGCTCGGAGCTTCGTTCCGGGTCCTATAGGCTTGGATGCTGCTGGGTTGCGGAGTCTAGACCGTCACGAGAGATTCGCTATTGGCCCTTCCTATACCATGTGTTTAACTCGGCTCTACGGCAATTCGGATGCAGGTTTTCCCTATAGTTCCCCTTATGGGTTCTGTAGTTCAAAGTGAACGGGTGCAATTCGATAACTGCCGGACTTCGGAAGTCCACCCTATATGTTCCGTATCGGATTTACTCGGTCAGCCGATCCCTATAATGTCATGACCTCATTGCACGTGCTCCTATAGCCGGTTCGGGCCGTAATAGGAGACTTGTTGTATGTCTTTTGTGAATATAGGATGTGTTTCCACTTCAAATGCTTCGCTCCTTGATTATAGGATATGTTCATGTCTCCTATAGATGCTACTTTGTGTTGTGTAGTCCATCTTGGATGTCGCAGAGAGTAAGATGATGATTATAGAGGCCCTCATTTGTAAAGGTACCGTCTATAGGACAATGTCTATGTGCTCTTTGACCATAACCAAGTTTCCTATAGCCTATATGTCGGAGTCATACAGACTGTTAGGGATCCTGCTGTCTATAATACTCTTATAGGAATCGCAAAATAGTGTGTTTCAAAGCTGTGATTATAGACGGTGTATCAACGGATGGTTGCTTGCCAGGACAGGGATGAATAACGATGATGTACTCACCAGTGGGCCAAATTAAATCATCTCTGGTGAGTTTTCCGCGCCTGAATCGTGAGGATGCATTGTCAGGACAATGTTTTGAGAGATTTGGTGGGTTCTACACACTTTTGATTCCCCAATATCGGAGTTTGAAATTGGCTCTTATGGCTTGTTCGGCGGGTGTGGCTTGTCCTCAAATACAGCCATCCCTTCCACTGTAATCAGATTTGTTCTATACGAGGTGGACCTTGGTCCAAGTATGTCAACCAGTACCAGCATGTAATCTGAAGGCTACGGGCACCACATCCACGGCCAGGTTGAAGGTATCAATTGAAATTGAAATTGACGCTGTGCTCCTTGCTATCAGCCTTCAAAATGCCATCCTTCACATGTTGTGAGATTCCAACCAGAATAACACCGTCAGTATTTGCACTCTCAAGCTGAGTGACTGATCACTCATGAGTGTGATGGGTGGGTGAGTTCAACACAACAAGTTATGCAGCTCACCCCAAGTTCTGAATCCTATGTATTGCAAGCCAAATACTTCTGCACAGGTGATCAGTTCACCATCCCCTACAGATGGCCAAGATACCACACTATTAATATGCCCATATTCATGGGCTTTGACGCTGAATTTGAATCAATTTGAGCCTCAGATTGGTGCAGCCCGAACTGCACAGTGGGTATTGGGTAGCCCACGATATATGTATAATATTACTTCAATGCATGCAATATTATAATTTGAACACTGGCACTAGTGAACAGTTCTAAGGCCGTGTCCAGTGATCATTTTGGAATGCCAGGGGGGACTTCTGGCCATACCGGATGCGCTATTCGAAATAGGATGTCTAGTGCCACTACTGAAATTAGTGTCGGCAATTCAAGCCATAATACTGGTGTTGTGATGTTGACTGCGGTTCTGGTGACTGCAAGTAGGTCTGCGAGTTTCAGAAAGGTACGTCCTCTGGGGGAAATAATCAAGGCAGTGGAGTGTAGCAAGTTTTGTGAACGGTGTAGTTAATTTGTTTTTAGTGCATGGGTTACCCCAAGCAGGTCTAATTAAATGCCTATGGGGGTGCTACTAGGTATATCAGATCTGCTGGTGGTTATTCCAGGTGTTTGGGCAGCCAGCATATAACAATTAAGAGCTAAAAGAGCGCCCGGGTCGCTTCTCCGGGTGTGTTTTAGCTATATTTCGCTTCGTAAGTCGATGAACGTGATCGATACTAGGCCTTCTCCTGTGCCAATCGACCTATTGCAATCCCTACAGTCGTTTCAGAGCGACGTGGGAGCACGAGTAGTGCCGGACTTGAGAGGATTTATAGATTTCGTAGTGTTTTATCACTAAAGACAGCGACCAGAGGGAAAACTCCTTGTCTCTGACCCTGTTTGTAACCTATACGAGGGGATCCGGGTCGTCAATCGAGGCGAATAAGATGATATGCTCAGGCGAGAGTGTCTGAGGACTATCCGGATGTCGTATGTTACTGGTGGAAGTTCCTAGTCGGATCTATCCACAGAAAGGAAGGGCTGACCGCGTTAGCGTAGACGATGGGTTGAGACTACCGTGCCCTGATTTCGTACTGCGAGTAAGTTCATAACGGCAGCGTTTCCATGTACGAGTATTGTTTTCCTCAAATCAGAGTGTTTTTGGGTGAAGGATGTGATCCGGGAGGATCTTGTGAGTGCTTCGAAAAGCGGAGGGAGATGTTTCACAAGAGAGCCTGCTGGATGACCAGAGAGCTCTATAGTTGGGTGTATTCTTATCCTTCTGCTAGTGTGCACTAGAGAAATACAGGGGAACTCGGTGATAATTTATGTGAAGAATGATCCTTGTATTTATAGTTTTCCCTCTCCTGGGTCCCCTTCTCCTACCATATGACTCCTCACTGGCGCCCGTCTGTCATAGCCAGCTTGGTCGTCCGGGGCTGAAAATAGATTGTCTTGTTACGTTGACCCGAAATAACCCCTGGGTCGTGTGGTACGAGACGTTCTTGGCGCACTCCGGATCGTATGGCCACCAAGTCGTCGTGGGACGTCTGGACCTATTAATAGTGAATGGTCTTGGCACACTCCGGGTCGCACGAGTCGCCTTCTATGTCATACAAATGACATCGCCTATCCCGGGTCTCCAGCCAAGCCGAGCTGGCAATGACACATGCAAACGAAGGCCCTTCCTCCCTGATCTGTGTTATAGTCGGGCTCGTATTTCCTCCTGAGCGATATAAATCCATCTCCGGGTCCTATGTCAATCGCCTGGCCTTGTGGTGTACTATCCCATTGTTGTGGAATCTGAGAAACATAACAGTCCTATGGTCTAGCGGCCTATGACGCTCATAACTGTGAGAGTGCGTGTTCGAACCGCGCTAGGATCGTAGTGCGGCTTTTCGCCCGTCCTCCCATTGCTGGAAAGCAGAGGGAGGCCGGGCAAATAAGTGTACTACCCTTTTTATAATTCTTGGAGGTCGATGTTTATTTTCGAGGGTGTTTGTGGGTTATAATATCCGGACCTGGGTTCTAGACAAGATAGAGCTGGGGAGAAGGCGGTTTGCGGAAAAATGGAGACCCGGATCGTTGTTCGTTGGTGGCATAGGGAAGATAGGGGCCCGGAATGATGTGATGATGAGTGTTTTGGTGGTACGCTCGAGCGATAGCGACTCAGTGGGGGTATAGGGAATACCGCTAGGGTTTGGGAGGTAATTTATCGCTATCCGATGCCGGTTGGTGGGTCGAGCGAAGTGAGAGCTCACAGTGTGCGCTTTGAGGGGTGATGGGGATATAGTGTGTCGTGAATAAGTTCGAGCCGGCCATCTCGGAATCTGAGTTTGCTATGCATAGGAGCAGTGGAGAGGACCGTAGTGATGAAGGCAAAGGTTTTGGACCAATTATTTACCACCGGGAAAAATGCAAGAGTTGTCACCAATATTGGCGGAACCGGTTTCACACTGTGATAATTGGCTGAATAGCAAGTCAGGGGGTGCTGCGTCGCCGAATTGCGAGAACACTGCATGAGAAAAACAGTGTTGAGGCGTGGACATAGGATTTCACAAACAGGGGAAAAAACCAGCTAGTAGAAGACGAGGAATCTGCATTCGAGAGGGGGGGGCTCTAAACAATTACAGGGCAGTGTTGATATTCTGACAGCAGTATATATTTCATTGTGATTGATGGGAAGAGCATAACCCTAGCAAGTTGCGTTGAAGCCCTAGCTTGAGCGATCTAGATGTCTAGCCAGACAAAGCCTTAGAACAGGATCACCGTCTGGTGGTCCAGGGCGGAGGCAAGAGCGCATTCGGACGGGGACTAGTTTGGAGAGTGTGAATCCAGAGAATAAAAACGAAGGAACCACGCAATTAGGAAGACTAAGGAAAAGTCAACAACACGTAGGGTGCCCGCATGCCGGAGGCAGCCCATCCGTTGGAGGCCTTTCGACAACAAAGCCATACAACTTGCTTCTGTTTGACTGTTTTGACCCAATTTTGACTTGATTTCGACCACTTTGCGAATTTTTTTACTTGTGCATGCTTTCTCTAAGGCTAAGTTGAAATATAGTGCATTTTCATCATATATGCAACATTCATGTTCAACCATGCATGGGGAGGTACTAAGAAGCTGTTTCATTTCTTCTGAGTACTCAGAATAGGTCTTACAACATTGCAAGTGCCGTGCCTGTGCCGCATTTATGTGCGCCAGTGCTGTGTCAGTGCCACATCAATGCGTGTCAGTGTGCGTCAACGCCATGTCAATGCGCGCCACTGCCACGTCAATGCGTGCCACCGCCGTGTCAATGCATGCCACCACCGCATCAATGCGTCAATGTGCCCCGCTGCCACGTCAATGCATGCCACCACCGCATCAATGTGTGCCACCGCCACGTCAATGCGTGCCACCGCCGCGTCAACGTGCCCTGCTGCTGCGTCAATGCATGCCACCACCACGTCAATGCATGCCACTGCTGCGTCAATGCATGCCACCACTGCGTCAATGCGTGCCACCGCCGCGTCAATACACCCCGCTGCCAGGTCACCCCAAACCCACTCCAGCAATGCATGGCGGTGTTACTGGGTCCCCCATGGAACTCGTTCCTGTACTGTACATTCAATTTCACCAACTAGGTGAGATACTTATGCCTGCTATTAAAGTGTGTAAGGTGAGGAACATACACAGGGGGCAAAGTGAGGGGTGCCTGTCATAAGGGCACTCGAAGGGCACTTGCAGCAGCAGTTGCACGGCACTTGCTCTGGACAAGCCAAAAAATTACATAATACATTGTCCCCATGCATGGGTTCAATCCCCGGCACAGACATCTTTTCTTTTACATCCTTCAATTCAGTGTCTAGAACCACTACAATTTGGTATTCAGTACATATTGGTCCCAGATAGGTTAATATTCAACACTAACCTAATGTTGACTGCTACACTGGTTGAGCATTTCAATTTTTTCACTCCAAGTTTCAGTGAAAAACTTCCTTTATTTTTCACCCAACATCTGAAAATATCTGAAATTTTAACTTTTTGCAGTACTTTTGTGACTTTACTGAAAATTTATGAATTCTCCAGCTACATTTTCAGTGAAAAAATGCATGAAAAATAAAGGAAGTTTTTCACCAAAAATCTAGGTGAAATTTTTTGAAACACTCACCCAGTGCTACTGGCTAATGTACCACCAGATAATAATAATAATGATAATAGTATAAGTTGTACCTGAAAAAAACATTGGACAAATAATTTGATGGGACAAGCCTACCAGATGAGAATTGAAACTTTGGTTCCCTCCAAAAACAAAAATTGGCACTCTAAGCCAATGTTGAGTCTGACTTTTTTGATTCCAAGCACACTGAACTTTAGTTGGTGGATGATCTGCATCAGGAAAATCTGAAATACTATATAGTGCTGGTGGGGATTATATGGGTCTATCAGGGTCTATGTGTCTGACCCCCTGTCAGAATTATATTTGTCTATGAATGTGCATCCTAATGTTACAAATCTATAAGTGTCTACAAAATCATCATAAGTGGTTACAGGTTTGAAACATAATAGTGAATGGACTTGTACGCGTATAGACCGATCCAATTGTTTGCAAAAAAAGAGCTACATTGATCTAAAACAGTGTCAGTTGTCCATGCGGAATCCAAGTTAGCATTGGCATTGCCATGACTGAAATTAGGAAATAATGGGTAAGTCTGGCAAATGTCAGACAAAGGAATGATAGAGACATGGTGAAATCGATCGGCGGGGAGTGGTGGGACAGATACAGAATACATCTGGTGATTGTCTCCATGTTGCAATTTAAATGGTGTGAACCATTCAATGTATGCAACACAAGTCTTCAGCCAATTGTGAGGGACCCATGAACCATAGGCAAACTTCTCAGGAAGACGAAATAGAACTTTAATATGTCCCATGTGTGTGCCTAGGAAAAATTAGTTTTCAGTTGAAGTTTCAGCAAATTGAACTTGCCAGAGAAACCGGTCGCTTCTGCTGTCTCCTTGTTACATGCAATTATGGTATCGAAGCATGGCAGAGACATGCACTTGGTGGATTCCAGGCAGGCAAGAACAGTTTGACAGTCCTTGTTGTCATTTTCTCATGAGCCAACCGCTCCAGGATCAAGGGTTGAGGGCTCAGATTTGAAGTTGTAGTAGACTAACTGGAAGGGTAGCAGAACGAAGCTGATTTAGTGCCGTCTTTGTGCCGGGATTAATGTGGTTGAGAAGTTCCTTTAAGGTGTGAAAAAATGTGTTGGGGTTGTGGTTCAGTTTGATTGCCATGAGAGGCTGGTGAGATTCTGAGGAGTCTTGGCGAACCAAATTGCCTGACCTGTAAATGTGTACACTACAGGCTCCTGCTATGCAGTCCGTGGCTCCTGCTGTGCAGTCCGTGTTGTTTTTAGCCATGCCATGTATGTTGCAAAGGATGATACATCACCAAAGAAAGTAGTGGTATTGAATTGGATGAGATCCTCTCTTGACAACCCAGCCATGTTATCGTCTGGGGAAATTCTTCACACTGATTGGATACCCACCAACCCTCCTTCATGAAGTTGATGTGTAGACGTTCAAACATTTCTGAGTTGTAAATTGTCCATAGTTCCAAAATATTTGATGGATTCAATGTAATGGGGGTGGGGATGGAATTTGGGAATGTTGAAGCCCCCACAAACAATTGCTTCGATAAAAAATGCCCTGTTTATGTGCCAGACATTGAGCACTTGCACATGGCGTCCAGGGTTCCACTGCCGTGTATGCTGTACTGAGACAGATAAATAAAATCTAAAGGTGTGTGACATGCGTGGATGCCTTTAGTGGGGAACTTTCCCACCTAGCACCTGAGACGAATGTGTGTCTCTATCCCAGAGACTTCAGAGAGCAGTGGATCCCCTTGTCCAAGTACCGCACTTTGAATGCTGGAGGAAGCGAGAAAATATGTGCATCCGATTCAGCCTCTATCATGAGAGATTGGCACCTGCCCATAAGATGTTTGAAGACACCGTGATATAGCCGATGTAAGATGTCAGGGGTCAGGGAGAGCAAGATGTTTGTGGGGGGAAATCCCTCCCAAAAAGGCCAGTGGATTGCAGCGACCTCGTGGCTCATACAATGGTCATGAAATTTGTTTTCTGTGCTAGAATTCTTCTCCCCATCTCGAATTATGCTGAGCGTCCAGCTCAGTGTTTGTGGTGCTCCAGGATCCGGATTTTCCAACTCGGTAGCCTTCCGCTGGCACTTTGAGCAAGTGCCATATTTACTGCAAGCGAGCAGCCAAGCATTGCTCGGGATAGTCGGCAACATAGGATGTAGGAATAGGAAAGACGAACCGAACTTTTCCCTCTCCACTGACGGCCTCCATGCCCTCATTTCCTGCCTTGATCAGCAGCTGCAGAAAAAAACATTTGATTTCATGTTTTTACGGTCCGTTGTGAAAGTCCTGTGCATATAATTTTGTTGACAGATGAATAGCCAGAAAGAATGGAGGCATTTTGTGACAGCTTCCATCACAGAGCCTTCGGGATGTTTCTGAGTGTCAAGTAGACAGGACATGCAGATTTGAACTGAGTCAGCTGAGTTTTATCAGCCGCAATAATAACCGGAGCAAGTGTGGCACTGTTTGGGAGATTACTCTGTATTGAAGAGTTCAGATATCATCATAAATAAAGCGATACACCTACTTGAACTGCTGCCCACCATTTTCCTGTCCACATTTCATTATATATGCGATTATTTCACCTATATAGCCCACACTTCACCTCTAATTAAATGTGGAGGAACAGCTGTTCTCCTCCTCTAATTATGGGGACGGGCACCGATCGATTGTGATCTGGCGTGTTTGGTTGTGTTTATCCTCAGCCAGCCACACAAAATGCATGTTCCGCGAT